TTTTTCTTGAATTCATTAAACTGTTTCAATAGAATGTACTCGTTTGATTTTGTAAGGCATGTAGTTGGATACCTCAAGATTTCCAAGAGACATAGTATCTGACCATAATAAAGATTCTATTAACTAAACAAAATAACCTATGAAAAACATTTAGAAGTCAAGAAAAAGAAAGCTCTACACACACACCGCACACACATACACACTAATAATAGAAAAGAAATTGTGTATAATGAATTGTGTCATTAGGACTGCAAGTGGTCCATATCTTTCTATATAGTGAGAAATGTTCTAAGTGGTTTTGAGATTCTGTATGTTTCATAGAATCTGTGAAAATCCTGGAGTTTAAGAGCATTTACAGATAGTCCCCAAATCTCACAAATTGAAGTTTTAGATTATATACGTCAAAAATTAAAGCTTACATACACACAGAATGGTAATTTGTTGTTAAATAAAGAGAATCGATTGTATTTACCTCTGTTTGCATTTGTAACCTAACCTTTCTGGAACACTGTGTTCGGATCCAGAAAAATTAATAGATCTTATTCGCATCTGTTTCGGCCGTTTCCTTGACAACTGCTGTAGATGCTGCTATCACCATGGGAATGGTCCTTCTGAACGAAGCAGCAACCTCCAAAGGAGATGTTGGGAAAAGACGGAGTAAGTCTCTTGGTATTTTGGTAATTTGTTTGTCTTAAGAATCCTTTGACTCAAATCAGAATTACACAGAGTCCCTTCATAAGTGTAAATTCCCAAAGAAGGTTATGGTTTGAAGAAGGTTGAGGTTCTGTTGTTTGGGGTTTTCTCCCACCCCCACTTTTTCTGTCCCTTGGACATGCGCGTGTGTGCATGTACTGGGGCAGCTGTCCCTGCCGTAATGAGATGGAGTGATGTTGGTGGCACTGTACGTGACGGAGGGCTGTCCACCTGGTCAAGGTGCACCAGTCCATCTCTGACGCCCTCGTCTCCTTTCCAGTGTCTGCTCTGCAGAAAGCAATGGAACATTTTGTGGGCAGACTCCTCCGAGATTTGATTGGCATTTAGGACTGTCCCTGTGCCAGGAGAACCGGGTGTCCAGTCAGAGCCTGCCGTGGAGAAGCTGCTGTGTAGGACATGCATGGAAGGACTGAGCGATCTTCCACTGACCCCAGATCTTTTATCAAGATTAAAACGAAAAATTCCAGAGTGCACATGAGCTCACCGGAGAAAACAGAGAGAGAGAGAGAGAGAGAGAAAGGAAAGAGCCCGCGGTGGGCCATAGTTACGCACAGTACCTTTCCCTGCATTTCTTCCTCCGTTCAGGATTCGGGGCACACACACGCGTCTGAAGTGTTCTTCAAGCCCCCAGCCCAGGACGTGAACCACGTGGCTGACTTTCGTAGCATCCATCTCAGCCACCGCACCAGCGTTTTAAAAGGTGTATTTCATGGTAGTGTCTTTCCTAGGGGCCTTGCCTCTTCCACTGAAATAGCAAGATGACAGCCGCATCCAGTCCCACGTTGTGTTTTATCCTTTGATGGGTTAGAGAAAGAAAGCATTTGTATTTTTTCCCTAAAGTAATATATTTTGGTAGCAAAAAGAACACATGGGGAAAATCTTCTTCCTTTGCCTCAATAGCATAGGTGAGGAAAGGTCAGAGGGCCTTAGAGTCGATTCCTGCCAGAGACGTTTTTATAAGTAATGTCAAATTCTTAAATGATTTTGTGATGATACCTCCACAAACCTGTAATGAAAGGTTTTCTCTGTACCCTTTGTGTTCCTGAACTTTTTTTAAGACCCAGAATTTATGTATGGGGAGCATAGGTGTCTGGAAAAGATGAATAATTCATTAAGATATTTAAAATCAAAATCCAGACCTTTTTTTTTATGGGATTTTTAACTGGCGTGGGACACCTGTAAATGAGTCAGAGTGATTTTTGGAATATTTGGAAGTCTTAAGTGTTGAACTGGGCTGGATGTAACACGCAGTTTCTCTAGGATGCTCATGTGCTTTGTTGTAAATAAAGTAGAAAAGGGGGACAGCAGATGGCATGGAGGTTAGGGCAGCTGGATCTCACACGGCCAGCTCCACGGTTTGAGTCTCAGACCCGGCTGCTTGGAAAACATACTGGGCATGAGTGCCTGCCTGACCGAAATCCCGGGAGGAGACTGGAGAATGTACAGTGTTATGGCCATCCCCCGGGGGTGGTTCCTTATTGCCCTTTTCTCTTTCTCCTCTTGATCTCTGCTTTGCTCTGGCAAGTACAAGTACCTTACAGCAAAAACTAAGAAAAAAAATGGAAAAGAAACAATAGAAGACATGAACCCATAAGTTTGTAAAGCAGTATCGGATATCATTTTATGACATATCTTTTGAATAAACAATATTATGATCTTGGGATTTGACCAACTGTTTATGAGAACATATTTTTAATGTGATTATATGTTTATCATATTAAGGTAAGTAATAGTAATAAACATGTAGTAATTCTTTTCATTTCACCTCATCTGTGATAGTACATTTATAAAATCACTACTTCCAACTTCTCCCTTGGTAGGTACTTCAGTAATAACTCCAGCGCCCAAGTTATTTACTCGAATGCACACGTGCCTATGTGGGGGAGGGAAGAAGGAGACACACACATGTGCGTTCACACACCTAGGAGATATGTTTTTAAATTATTCCTTCCTTACTGTGATGCGGTTTCTGTTTTTGACATGGTACAACTTGATACGGCTGTGAATACTGCCCAGGCCCTGTTGCTTTGGTCTCTCTGTGGCTATTTCTTCTCGTAATGGCCGCCACGATTCACTTAGCAGTGACTAACTCCTCACCGCACTCAGTCCTCCTCCCTTCCCCAGGCACTCAGCATTCGAGCAGCCTTCTTCTGTTCCCTTGCCTGGAATCCAGTGTACATATCTTCATCACCTGATCACGAACCTTGGGCCTCATTTCCCATTGAGCACAGCCTTGCAGGCCAGTTAAAACAGCAAGGGTGTGAACGAACGCTTTGTTCCTCTTCTAAAGAAGGGGGGAGGGGGGATATCCAGGAAATTAAGAAGTGTTCGATAAAATAAGACTTAGGAAGGTATAAAGTAAAACATTGTATAATTAATTCTGGATTTAATAAAATTATCGTAGACAAAGTTGTTAATATGCTACATTAGGGCCTACTGTCTGTCATACTCATATTCTACAATTTCATTAAAAAGTATTTCTCATTTTGTGATATTTAGAAATCCATTTGTGGCTTTATTTTCTGCCAGTATTCATTTAAAGTTCAACAGTGTGTCTGAAATAAGATGTCACAGAAGCTGCAATTGGATGTTATTAAATGTTTCACAGTTTGTACTCAAAACTCAAAGGATGATAATGAATGAAAACTGATAGATCTGGAGACCATATTTTGACAGTGTCAGATAATCCCTGGGTTCCAGGAAACCCGATTTCATTTATATGCTAAAAAATCATTTTTTAGTTATTTTATCATTATAAAAGCTGATGTATATTTTTGATTTTCTTTGTTTCCTTCTGCCTTAATGTCTTAATCTCTTTTGTCTTCTTTCTTTTAAAAAATTAACATAATTCCTAAGGTATTTTTTAGAGTTCTCAGAAACTAGTGACAGAATATAAGTATTATACAAATAGGGCCAGCAGATGGTGTGGTGGTTATGTGCTAGGCCACCTCATGGCCACTGCGGTTCGTGTTATGTACCCTGTGGCTTGAAAACTCATGCTGGGCGGGTCTGTGTGCATGCCCCAAATCTGAGGAGGAAGATGGAGACTGGATTGTGGGTGACTGTCCCCCTTGGAGGATGGAGACTGGATTGTGGGTGACTGTTCCCCTTGGAGGATGGATGTGTGCTCTGTGACAAAAAAAAATTTTAAAAAGGTTTTTAAGTATTGTTCAAATGTTTTATTCTTAAAAGATGTTTATGTATCTGTATTAAGAGATGACACTAATTTCTACTTACATAGGCTAGATTTAAATAAAATTTAATTTATGGAAATATCCTCCTTTTCTTCTGTCCTAAATACCTGCATTTCACTGGCTCAGAGTTCTAAGCATTTAAATTTTATAATTTTATAATAAAATTTTCCTAATAGTAACATTGATCTTTTACAATTAAACATATCAAATATATACACTAAAGAAACTAATGTATTTTATTACTTGCCATCTTTAGATTCTTGCCAACCATAATAGAAAGGAAATGAAAAACTAATTCCTCTCTTGTCTACTTGGCTAGAGCAGAGTAATGTTAAGACCTAGACCACAGCACATTCTGCCAGGACACATGCCCGCTGACCCTTTGTGAAACAAACAGCAACACTGACCTACTGTTGGAACTGTCTGCTCCCCTTTGACTCTCAAAGCTTTTAGCCCTAACCTTCCATATAGTCGCATGAAAAATTTCTAAATAGCATGCTTTTTTACTGAGCCAACAATCTAGCCAATAACCTAAAATTATATTTATTTGTAAATGCGGCATGGTATCTGAAAAGAATAAAATGATATTTAGCATTCTAATAATGTAGAAGTCCTTGCTAATACAGCTAATGCTTCATAATGCAAGGGCTAATAATCTTATCTATTGTTTATCACATTCGTTGTTTTGTTTTGCTCCTTCTGGAGGATTTTAGTACTTATAGGAACTCTATAAGAGAAGAAAACCACCAGAAGACTTAGATCAGTCGATTTTGTTGTTTTCATACCCAAATAGTACATTTCATTGAGAAGAATACGGAAAATAATGAGTACATTGTATTGTGGATTATCTGGTTTGTTATGCCTGTATGTACCGTGAACTATTAAATGTAAGTATATTGCAATTGAAGGCATTTTAAACATATAAACATTTGTGTTGTCATTTGCTTGTTTTTAGACGCTAATGATACTTTCTGTCTCTTTCTAGTAATTTGCCTAGTGGGATTAGGCCTGGTGGTCTTCTTCTTCAGTTTTCTACTTTCAATATTTCGTTCCAAGTACCACGGCTATCCTTATAGGTAATATATTTATCCTGATGTGAATGCTTTAATTTTTTTATCAATAGGATAAATAAAAGTTCAAAAACTAATATATAATTAAGGATTATTATAAAGTAGCTAACTTATTTGCCTTGTGATTTTTAAATTCAGTTAAGCAAGTTTTTGAGCACCTGCCATGTGATCAGCATAGTAAACTGTACAAAGGAGATATAGTTCCTGCTCCTGAGCAGGGTGTGCTTTCATTTTAGAGTACACGTAAATACACATTATTATATGTATGTTGTGTGTGTGTGTGTGTGTGTGTTAAACTTAAAATGAGTTTTAGGCTTCATGCACGTCATCGAAATTTGTGTTTTCCCTTGGTTTGTCTATTCACAATAATAATTTCATCTACAAGACTGTTGACATGTAATCTACTATGCAGTACTTGATAAACCACATCATCATTTGCATGCTGCAGAACTTTAACTTTTCAAATAACAAAAGCAAACATAAAAAAGTTAAATGATAAAATAAACTGTGGTCATGGAAAGCTGTTGAAGATCTTTTCTAAGACCACATTATGATGTCTGAACTACACTTTGACTAAAGCACACCTCAATGGAGGTGCCAGAGGAGAATGTTGTTCAGTTTACAGATTGGGCGTATATTCACTTCTCGATCCTATTCCATCCTCAACTTTTCTTGAAGAAACTACAATTTCATTTTCTCTTTCTGTAGGCTGTCCTTATAGTGTAACCTATCTCTCTTTAATTGATAAAGAAGTCAAGTCCTAAATTTCCTTTCTCAGAGATGCTGGACTCTTTGCTTAGACAGTAAAACCTGTGATGTGTTGCTAGATAGTGAAAGTTCATCATATCTTAGATACATACCATTGACAGTAGGCATTTGAGTAGACATTCTCATAGATTGTGGCAACAATATGTAGCTTTATCTGGGGAACAAAACTAATCTCTTAAAAGGGAGATCTGATTATGGGATTACCATGTAAAAATTACACTTTCAACTCCCACCTCTTTATTTTCTCATATGGCAGAATGACATTTCCAGTTCTGTTCTCACATCCCTTAAAAGTAAAGGCACTTGGGGCCGGCAGGTGGTGTGGTCGTCAAGGGTGTTGGATTCCCACATGGCTGATCATGGTTTGAGTCCCAGACCTGACAGCTTGCTTTCTCACTTTCCCTCCCTGGTCAAATTAAAAAATAAATAAATAAAGTTTAAAAAAAAAAAAAAAAAAAAAAAGAAAACCTTTCCCCCCCCGTGGAAAAAAAAAAAAAAAAAAAAAAAATTTAAAAAAAAAAAAAAAAAAAAAAGTAAAGGCACTAAGGGAATGGAAAAAATGTGGATGAGCCCCAAGTTGTGGAGCCATCTACCTTAACTCCTTCCTGCAGTGGAAATAGATGTTTGGAACTTCAGTTTTGCAGGAACCAGGAGTAATAAGACAGGCAAGCAGTCTTTGGTTTCTTCATGTTATTCTTGACACTGGATAGCCAGCCAATTTAATTGCGAAATTGTGAAATGATCAAACTAATAAAACCCAAGAGTAACTAATACCCAAGAAAAATGAAGGGATATTTCTGGATTTTGTTTTGTTTTTCTTTCTTTCTGCGCTAGGTATGAAAATCATGGTTCTGTACAATTTATCTCAGTTTGAGGTACATGTGTTCTACAGTGGAATCTGTAATTGAAGAGAATGCTCCTGGAGTCCTCTATCTAAGACACTGCAAACACTTAAACATTAATTAATTCACTTCAATCTGTCGTGCCTAAAATAGGTCAAAGAAAAGGCTCTCTCTTTTTATTTTTTTAAAATAAACTATAGGAATAGATGATCATGAAGTTCTTAAGCCCTGTTTAGTTGACAGTCAGGAAGAAGGGGAAGAAAGGGCAAATTCCAGATCTCCTTACACCTCAGAGCACATAATCACACTAGAATATTTCTCCCTGATTCTTCTTTGACATAACAATATACTGATTAGGAAAAGTAGGGGAAAATGAGGTTTTTACTAGGTTCTTATAATAATGTCTACATTTGTTGGCACTCTCAATTTGTGCTTTTTTCCTGAGGGATTGTTGTCATTTAGTATAGTAATTCTCTTTTTTTTTTCTTTTTTCTTTTTTTCTTTATTTTTAACCAAAACTGTGTATATAAACTGCTTGGAAGCTGTTCAAGACCATATCCTAGATATACATTAATAAGCGTATCTGAACTGAAGTATCTGTGTACTTACTTTGTTTGTGAATGTAACATTTAAGCATTCTTGTTATATATCCAGTCCCACTCCCGTTGTCAATATCCTTCTAGCCTGACAAGTGACAAAGGATGGGCTTGCCTTTAGCTGACCTCCTGAGGCCAGAAATGTAACTGAAATCTCTTTGGAAAGTCAGAGATGCAAATCACGCCCCAGAGTGCTTTGTGAATATGAAAACTGACGTAACTTAAACACAAACCTGTAAGAAGAAGAAACAGAAGAAAGCCTCGCCAAGAAGCACGGGCAAGCAGGTGTGAACAGTGTGTTGTGCAGGGCCAGGGGCGTGGAAGGCAGGCTTTCAGCCGCAGCCTCTCTTCACAGTCCTCTGTCACTTTGCTGTTGTGGCTTTATAGATGGGCTTAAACAAGCTAAGTAGAGTTCACCTGTTCTGTTAGGCAGTTTCAGGCTGAAGTAAGTAAAGGGCAATAATCAGGCTATTTTAGATAATGGAAGGTTTATTACCAAGATATACAGAGAGGCAAGGAAGACACCAAAAATCTAGTTCCCATACAACTACATTTCACAGATGTTGGAAAGGGTTCAGAAAACAGGTCATTCGACAACATAAATCCGTTACTCCCCTCCCATGCTCCAGTGATAACTCAGTTACTTACTTACCTCTTGCCTCTAATTCGTCTCCCAGGCATACTACTGAAATACTGCTTTTTAACTCTCCTCTCTCCTCTTCAGCTAATTGGAGCCTTCTCTGGACCTTTGGTTCCTACCCATGCATCCACTTTGGCTCTCCAAGTGTAATTTGTGAACTTTATTTTCTAAGGGGGAGGGCCTCGTTGGTTAAGTTTGTTATTGTCCTTAACAAATAGAATTTCATTCCAGTCTATGTCATCTTCCACGGTGGTCCACCCTATAGATTCCCTAAGGGTATCTCCACCACAATTCCTTTCCCTGTTTATCAGTGTTAGCGATTTATGTCAAGTGCCTGTTTGTTGGTGCCATTCAAAGAGCCTACCGAATGAATGTATATTAGGCATCATGTCTTTAAGGTGCTTCCAAGGAAAGCTAAATGTAATAGAAACCTAGAAAAGATAAAAGAGCTGGCTAGGTAGTGCAGCAGTTAAGCACTATGTAGAAAGAGCTGGCTCTCACATGGCTGATCACAGTTCAAATCCCAGCCCTGGTGCTGGGGGGATGCAGGTGTATACCCAGGACCCTGAGGGGATGGAGAAATGGAGGAAGGGGTATTGCAGCACAACCAGGCCCAGTTGAGGAGCACGTTCTCTTTTTCTCTGCCCCTGTCTCTCTGAGTCTCTAGTGCACATACACTCAGATATTTAAAGAAAAAATTTGAAAGCACTAAATAAGTAAACAGAGTAGTATTTAATTCATCTCATCTCTGTTTGAAAAGGGGTGTGTACAATAGATCTTTGATGTCCGAGAGGTAGTTCTCAAAACTCGATGGCTTTCCAAATATCTGTAGTAGCCCTCATAAAGTGTTGTCAAGAATAATTGAATATTTTAAATGAGCCTCTTAGATTTTAATAGGTTAGCATCCATACGAAGTCTAATTAGAGAACGATTAATCTGCCTTGAAATATTTGCCACAGTATGCCAACCAGCATCCACTGCAGTTCAAATTTTAAACTGTAAGAAACAAATATAAATGTGTAGCAAAAATTATAAGTTTAACAAATTTTGATCAAGCAGCTACTATGTGCCAGGTTTAAGGGACATGACCATTAATAGAACAGATGAAAATCTCTCTCCTTAGACCTTCCATTCAGGTTTGGGAGGGTATAAGGAGTCAGAAAACAAACAAGTAAAATGTGGAGTACATTTACATGATGATATGTAGTAAGGACAAAGGCATTGGGGAGGGGATTGAACCCTAGATAGTGTTTCCAAGGAGGTCCATGCCAAGAAGGGGACGTTTTAGTGAAGAGCAGAAGGAAATGATTAGTGTGAGCCATGTAAGTATCTGGAAAAATGATGTCACTGGCCCCAGAGCAGCATGTTTAGGCACCATGAAAGAGTAGAGGATGAGAAACAGTGAGGCAGTTCTCCTCAGAGAAGTGAGAACGAGGGGAGAGAAGAGGAAATGAGGCTGCCGAAATCAGAGGGGTGAAGTGTAAATCAGATGCGATCCCACAGGACATGGGGAAACTTAGATCTGAATGAGATAGGGAGTCACGGAAGGATCAAGAGAGTGACATAAATCTTTCTTCCATGTACTAGGGAACTTCGGGATCCTTCATAAACAGCTTGTGTTACCTGTCTTAAATCAGCATCTACCAAGAGGCTAATCCTTTTTTAAATAAGTATTTTATTTTATTGCTATTATTTTTAGTTGACAAATACTATTTGCCCATATTTATGAAATACGGTGTTTTTTTTTTATATATGTGTATGCAATGTGTAATGATCAAATCAGGGTAGTTAGCATCTAATCACCTCAAACATTCAATGTTTCTTTGTGTTGGGAACATTCAAAATCTTCTCTTCTAGCTATTTTGAGATATACAATAAATTGTCTTAAAGGTAGTCACCCGACAATATTATTGAATACTAGAGCTTATTCCTCAGTCTAGCTATAATTTTGTATCTATCAGCCATTCTCTTCCAGACCCCTTCTTCCCACAGCCCTTCCCTACCTCCCATAACAACTATTCTACCTCTGCGTCTATGAGATCAACCTTGTAAGTTTCCACATGTAAAAGAGAATATGTGGTACACATCCTTCTGTGCCTAGCATATTTCATTTGAAATTACGTGATGCAGACTCATCTAATTGTAAAAATGATGAGATTT